TGCTCCAGGAGGAAAGGCATGTTCTATATGGATTCAGTTATTCTTATCATTTTCTGATACCAATAATTTAAAATTTTTGCTGGGGCCAGCAGGTGGTGTAGTGGTTAATGTGCTGGACTCATGTGGTTGACTGCAGTTCAATTCCTGAACTGATTCCTGAACCTGGTGGCTTGAAACTCACACTGGGTGCTTGTGCATGCAGGCCCAAAATCCTGAGAGGAGAATGGAGGAGAAGGGATTGTGGTCTGACCATTCTCAGTGTGTGTGTGGGGGGAGGTGATTTCTCTCTTTTTGTTTCTTTCTTGCTCTTTGTCTCTGTTGAGTGCATGTGCCTGATGGCAAAAATCTCCCAAAGAAAAAGAAAAAGAAAAACAAAAGCAAAAACTTGCCATCCTGTGGTGTGGTAGTTAAGGCAGCTGATCCTACATGGCAAACTATGAAGTTTGAATCCTAGACCTGGTGACTTGAGAAACATGCCAGATGTGTATGCATGTTCAGTCCTGAAAGGGGGGAGAAGCAATTGAGGCATGACCATTCTCCAAAGGGAAGTGCTTTCTCTCTCTCTGTTTCTCTCCAGTGAGCACACATGCCCTCTGGCAAAAATTTTTGAAAATTCTCCAATTAGGGACCAGCAGTTAGGGCAATGGCTATGTCGCTGGACTCCCATGTAGTTGACTGCGGTTCACATCCCGGACCCGGTGGCTTAAAACTCACGCCGGGCGCGTGTGCGTGCTTGCCCAAGATCCCAAGAAGAGAATGGAGGAGAAGGGATTGTGACGTGGCCATCCCCCCTGGGGGGGGATTTCTCGCTTTCTATCTCTCTGTCTCTGTCTGCCTGGCGAGTGCATGCACCCTATAGCAAAAACCTCTAAAAAAAAAAAAATTATCCAATTACATAGGACCATCAGCTGGTGTAATGGCTATGTCGCTGGACTCCTATGTAGTCAAATGCAGTTTGAATCCTGGACCTGGTGGCTTAAACTCCCATCAGGGGCATGTGCGTGTGTGCCCAAGATCCGGAGAGGAGAATGGAGGAGAAGGGATTGCGGCATGGCCATCCCCTCAGAGGATGATTTCTCACTTTCTGTCTCTATCTTTTTCTGTCTTTCTGGCATGCACATATGCCCTATAACAAAAACCTCTCAAAAAAAAATATCTCCAATTACAGATTAAAAAAACAAACATAAATGGACAAACTACCCACAACAAAGCCTATGTTCTCATTTGTTAAGCAGATCTAATTACCTGATCTTACTCCTCTCTAGATAGGAGCTGAGCAAAGTATAGGTATGACTGGAAGGAGATCCAGGAAAGGGGAAGAGGACCTCATCTCATGATGTTATCTGAGGGGAAGTCAACAAACATCACAGGACAGAAGTGTTGAAGGTAGAGTTAGACTGGGAATAGTATGAAGACCAGGCACTCACATCCAAGCAGTCATCTGTGAAACCAGGAACAGCAAATTCTCGCTCTAGAGACATTAAGCCATGTGGGAGGTTGATAGCCATTCAACAGACCAAGTGTTGTAATATGCATTTATAGTCAGCCTCTCTTTCAGTTCTTGTAGCTTCTTGAGGCCTGAGACAAAACCATTGTTTTGTTTGCAGAACAATGTTCCTTTACAGAAACAGGTGTTAGGACTCTCCTTATTTTTCCTCCTTTCTTCTTTTCCTCATTCTTGAGATATGAGGTCGAGGATTAGGAATATTGTCCATCCACCATGAAATTCACGTTGAAAGTCTGCTTTGAAGGAAATGAGCCTCAGATTTGTTAAGGATTATCCTTGTGAAGCATTGAGCATATTTGTAAATGTTCTCTGCCACCTGAGATTTGGCTGCTATCTCCTTAGCAACAGAGCAATTTTATTCTTCCTCCTGTCAAACCCATCGACTTTCTGTGTCAAAGAAAATGTACGTACATCATAGTTATGCTGTTATCAGGCAGGAACAAAGTCCTATCTCAACCTAACTCCTTTTGCTTTTTAAATTTTTATTTATTTATTTTTTTGGAGAGGTTTTATTGCTATAGGGCGCATGTGCTCGCCAGACAGACAGAGACAAACAGAGAGACAGAAAGCGAGAAATCACCCCCCAGGGGGTATAGCCACGCTGCAATCCCTTCTCCTCTATTATCCTCTCGGGATCTTGGGTGCACACGTACCCGGCGTGAGTTTTAAGTCACCGGGTCCGGGACTCAAACTGCATTCGACTACATGGGAGTCCAGTGACATAGCCATTATGCTAACTGCTGGTCCCTCTCAACATAACTCCTAAACAGATTTACTCACATCATGTAAGAAGCAGAGGGAAATTTTCTAGCATGTTAACTATGAAATTCGGCTATTCATATGAATCATTTTGAATGAAAACTATTTTGAACATTTTTTTTCACTAGGGTAATGATTTAAGCTATATTAATTATTTCTGGATTACAGAAGAGTATATTTTCAAAAATATGTTGCATTTTTAGAAATTTGATTGCATTTCTATGACTATTACTTTATAATGAAGCTCTCACCAAAATATTGCAATGCATCACATAGGTGGTTTCTTATGACACAGACATAGAGTGGTAATCTAAATGTTTCTCTTTAATTGCTTTTTTGCTCATTTATTTTTTTCTGTTTATTAGCACAGGAAAATCTTTTTGAAGTAAAAGAAAATTTAATTCTTATTAGAATGACAGCAGGTGATTGTCCAAGAAAAATAAAAGAACTTGAAAAAGATGTTTTCTAGATGTTTTAGTCCATTCTGTGGCTAATAATAGAAAATACCTGAGACGGCCAGCAGATGGCATGGTGGCCGATAATGGTTCAAGTCCCAGAACTGGCAGCATGCTTTCTCTGTCTGTCTCTCTTTTGTCAAATTGAATAGTAACAATAGTAATAAATAAAAATAAATAAACAATTTTAAAACAATTAAAAAGAAAATACTTGAAACTGGGTGATTTCTTTCTTTCTTTATAGAGGTTTTTTTGCCTTAGGGCAGTTGCTCTTGCCTGAAAGGGAGACAGACACAGTGAGAGGAAAAGTAAGAAATCACAGGGGAGATGGTCACAGTGCAATCCCTTCCCCATTCTCCTCTCAGGATCTTGAGTGCGCATGCACAGATGCCTGACATGATAGTTAAGCCACTGGGTCCAGGACTCAAACCACAGTCACCCCTGTGGAATCCAGAGATGTAACCACTATGCTATCTACTGGTCCCCAAACTGGATGATTTATAAAAATAGAAGTTTGGATGTCTCAGGGCCAGGTGTCACAATTACAGGGTCTTCCCCATTGGTGGAGTCTAAAAGCCATGCAGAAAGGCATCACACTGTGAAAGAACAAGAGCACATATCTCATGTGTTCATGTGTGTGATGTTTCTTTATAGTCACTAGGATCAGTCATAGTGTCTCAACTTTCTCACCTAATTACTCCCAAATGCCTCACGTTTTGACATCATGCAAGTATCAAGAGTCCTGTTAATACCCTCACAATATAACCACATTCACATACAAGCGGTTTTGAGAGACACTCAAACCATACCCCTAGAAAATGTGGGACAAATATGAAGAGTTCACTCAGGAAACCCTGTCTCCATCTCTGTCAGGAAGTTGAAACAGCAAAGGACTAGATGTCTTGGTTTGTCTCTGTTTGGTGAAGCTATTTGGGGATTTGATCTGTTGTCATCGGGGTGAAAGCAATCTAAATTCTTTAGAAAAGCTTCTTACATAGGGTAAAGGAGAAATGGCAAAACTCACATCAATGTGGAGTTACAGATACAAATCATCTCAGAATTTCAAACTCTGTATTTAAGAAACAATGCCCAGTGGCAGCAACGGAGTTGTCATCTAGATATAAATGTTAGGAGAAGTAATAATGAAGAGTTCTCCCTGGTAGGAAGCAAGTAATACCCAAGACAAGATTTTTTGACAGTGGAACAAGTGTCTTTACTCTTATTAGTTGTGCTTGAGATGTGCCAACTTCAAAGAAGGTGGAGATGCAGTTCTACCTTATGTGGAGAAATTAGTTGTATTTGATAGCATCTCAGGGTTTTCTTTTATTACACTTACAGCCAATTATAAACATTTTGTGATGTATGTTTAAATTACCATGAAAATGATAAATTGTTAGAAAGTGTATATGTTATCTTATTAGATAAAAATTTGTTCTTATATGTATTGGTTCATTGGCAAAGTCATGACATATTTTTTGCTTTTCTATGCAAAAATGTGTCATGATTTTCCCAACGACCCAATACTTAATTTTTGCACGACCCTGATTTTCTTTCTTATTCTCCTCACCCCCTCTTTTTCTTTTAGAGCATCCCCTATGTTGAGATCCTCTGACCTCAGCCTACGGAGCAGTTGAAGGTACAGCAGTGCATCACCATTTCTAGCTTTTAGATTAGTTCTGCAAAAATTGACCCTCCCATGTAGCTTCAGGTTGCCAAGTACAAGGGGCTATAACCGTGTGCTACTGCAGTGGGGTTGATGCTAATTTTCAAGCATTATATAAGAACATGCCTAAACCATGTCTTTCCTTGTTCAAGTGACATTTCTATACATTACTCATAAATAAACATTTTAGACTATTGATTTGGTGACTTATCTACCAGAGAATAATTCAGTGTAGTGGCATTACAATAAGCTATCTTTCTGAACATTTTGGTTCATTTTGCCTATAGTTGTAAGTCAAAATAAATGAATGAAAAATGGTAAAAGATGACTGTATTAACACTAATGATTAATTGTATAAGTCTCATAATCATAACAAGATAGTGACAAAAATGAGGACATTAAGACTGTGAAATAGTTTATCTTTTACCTTATTATTTTTCAAATGAATAATCATATATCCAACTTTGAAATTAAGAAACAAACTTTAAACTGTAAGTATGGAAAATAATGAAAACATAGGATTCCCTTCTCACATGTTATGCCAAAATAAATTCAAAATTTAAGGAGTAATTATTTAAAAATTTAAAGCATAAAAATGGCAGGTTACAATCATAGGAAAACTCTTTTATTACTTAAATGTGAAAAATGCCTTTCTAATAAAAACATAAACCAAAACAATAAAAAAATGAAATTTATTACCAGAAAAAAAGAAAGAAGAAAGAAATTTGATATAGTTGATGATAAACAGTAACAAAAATGAATATTTGCAACTCATTTCAAAGGCAAATAATTAGTTTAATATATCTCCTAATATGTAAACAAAACAGCATAAAAATCACATTTCAACAAATTTCCAAGTAAAAGATAAAAATGCAACAGTAAAATGGGCAATGGGCAAAAAAACATAATTTCTTTTTCTTTTAGAGATTTTAACTATAGGGCACATGCATTTACTGGAGAGACAGAGGAAGACAGAGACAGAAAGAGAGAAATCACCCTGATTTAGAATGGCCATGCCTAATTCCTTTCTCTTCCATTCTCTTTTCAGGATCTTGGGCATGCAGGCATATGTGCTTTAGATGAGTTTTAAGCTGCCAGGTCCAGGACTTGAACTACTTCTGACTAAGTGGGAGTCCAGCGGCATAATGATTATGCCATCTGTTGGTCCTAAGGACCATAATTTCTACTAGCTGCTGCTTCTCTCTCTCTCACTCACTCTCTCTCTTTTTTTTTTTTTTTTTTGAAGTTTTTTTTCTTTAGGGCATGCGCGCCGACAGGGAGACAGAAAGTGAGAAATCACCCTCCAGGAGGATGGCCATGCTACAATCTCTTCTTCTTCATTCTCCTCTTGGGATCTTTGGCACACATGCACATGTGTCCGGCATGAGTTTAAGCCACCAGGTCTGGGACTTGAACCTTGGTCGACTACATGGGAATCCAGCGACATAGCCATTACGCCAACTGCTGATCCATCTACTAGCTTCTTCTCAAATGTGAAGAAATGTTTGCTGGAAGATGCCTGCAGACTTTCCTTCACAGCGGCCTTAATAAGTTCATATTTTCTTATATCATCAATAGCAACGGAAAAAATGTTTGTCATTGTTGGTTTAGTTTGACCCTCTAATGAATGTTGGACAACCATAATGACTTGAAGTGGCTCATACTTAAAGTCAGAGGTGAAAGACAAACATGACAATGAATATCCTGTCTCCTTATCTATTTAAATAAAGAGAATGTGCTATTTTGTTGGACAAGAAGCTAGTTGCCATGATCAAACACTATTTTCCAGTCTTGAGACTTGTCTTGAGACTCAGAATCCTAAAACTCTTCCATCAGCTGCTAGCACCGTAGGTATATTACAAAGTACATTACCTAATAGAAAATATGTCTTGTGGCCCAGCCTGTTGACATAGCTGGTAGTGTACTAAAGTGCAATGCTGGAACCATGGCCAACCGTGGTTTGAATCCCCTGGTTTGAAACATGCTGAAGGTTCCTGATCATCTGAGAAAAGGAAGATCCTGGTAAGGGTACTTCTCTCTCTATCTATCTCAGTCTTACGTGCATACATATGCCCTCTATCATGAATAAATAAAAAAGTCTGAAAATGTAGGGAGGTGGCAAAGACCTATACCAGAGACGGAAATTTTCTGCTTAGAAATAACATGTAGTTGACCCTCCATATCCAGTTTCAACTACCCACAGATTGAACTTTTTTAAAAATTGGTTGTATCTGTACTGAACATGTAGACTTCTCCCCCATTATGATTCCTTAACAATATACTGTAACAACTATTTTTATTTTATTATATATTATAAGTAATCTAAAGATGATTTAAAGTGTGCAGGAGGATGTACATAGACTATATACAAGTATTGCACCATTTTATGTGAGGGGCTCAAGTATTTTTGGATTTTGATATCCTTTGGGATCCTGGAACTCCCTGTAGATCGCAGAAGACAACTGTAATCTGAGCATATTAAATATCTGAATCACAGAAGCAACAGAAATAGTATCCAAGATATTCATCTTTTTCTCTCTCTTTTTGAAAAATAGCCCAGAGGGTGCCTGTGCTTCCTGGAGGATGACAGAGGAGAGAGAGAGAGAGAAAGAAATAGGGAGAGACAGAGAGAACTCTCAAGGGGAATGGTTACACTATAACCTCTTCTTTTCCATCTCTCCTTGCTTTCAGGACTTTGGGGTATATTACAAAGTACATTACCTAATAGAAAATATGTCTTGTGGCCCAGCCTGTTGACATAGCTGGTAGTGTACTAAAGTGCAATGCTGGAACCATGGCCAACCGTGGTTTGAATCCCCTGGTTTGAAACATGCTGAAGGTTCCTGATCATCTGAGAAAAGGAAGATCCTGGTAAGGGTACTTCTCTCTCTATCTATCTCAGTCTTACGTGCATACATATGCCCTCTATCATGAATAAATAAAAAAGTCTGAAAATGTAGGGAGGTGGCAAAGACCTATACCAGAGACGGAAATTTTCTGCTTAGAAATAACATGTAGTTGACCCTCCATATCCAGTTTCAACTACCCACAGATTGAACTTTTTTAAAAATTGGTTGTATCTGTACTGAACATGTAGACTTCTCCCCCATTATGATTCCTTAACAATATACTGTAACAACTATTTTTATTTTATTATATATTATAAGTAATCTAAAGATGATTTAAAGTGTGCAGGAGGATGTACATAGACTATATACAAGTATTGCACCATTTTATGTGAGGGGCTCAAGTATTTTTGGATTTTGATATCCTTTGGGATCCTGGAACCCCCTGTAGATCGCAGAAGACAACTGTAATCTGAGCATATTAAATATCTGAATCACAGAAGCAACAGAAATAGTATCCAAGATATTCATCTTTTTCTCTCTCTTTTTGAAAAATAGCCCAGAGGGTGCCTGTGCTTCCTGGAGGATGACAGAGGAGAGAGAGAGAGAGAAAGAAATAGGGAGAGACAGAGAGAACTCTCAAGGGGAATGGTTACACTATAACCTCTTCTTTTCCATCTCTCCTTGCTTTCAGGACTTTGGGCATACATGCACATGTGCCTGGGGTGTTTTCCAAGCCGTCATGTCCAGTAGTCAGACAGCACTGTGGTCATGTGGGATTCAGCTATGAGCTGGCACTATGGGCCAGCCACGCTATGGGCTGGCCTGATGCCTATGTCTTTCATACAGATACTTAACTATATTTTTTGTGTAAAATTATAGGTAATAAAGCATGAACATTTAAATATCTTCTATCCGATGAACAAGTAGTAGTTAAATGTTTCCAGATGTTTCAAGTAAAAGATTCACTACTAATTTAAAAGTTAAAACCCAATTAGTAAGAATCATACATCGTACATTTTCAATTTAGTTTGCATTATCCTTTAGGTTATACTGGTCATAGTTGTCTAGAATTTGTGGGAAAAACAAGGAATCATGTAATGGAAACAGGAGTGAAATCTAAGAATTACCTAGTCTATGTTTTATATTGTATATAATAATGTGTATTTCAAATCAAACTTTCATAAATTTCTTTCATGTGGATCACCTTTATCCTCATATTAACTGAAAGGTGGGCACACCCAGTGACAGCATCGCTACTTCACAGATGAGAAAAGCAAGACCACAGGGTGACAAACTTTCGCAGAGCTGGCTAATTCCCTGCTCTGAAGTCATCATTCCTGTGCACACTGATGTTATGTCTTCCAACTGGAAGCACCCGGGGTTGTTTTCTTGCAGACTTTGTGTGCAGCAGAAACTTCGCCCAGAGAGTAGCACTTAATCAAAGACAGACAGGAGCTGGTGGATGCATACTCCAGCTCCCTAACCCCTCTGGTAGCATTAACTCCAAGGTATGTTCTAAGGTCTCCCAGAGTTCTCACACAGGATTGGATGCAGTTGCACAAAGTTGTGACCTGCTTAGTAAGACACTTCCTATAGGTTTCCTTGCATTCTCTGCTACATTTCCCTATACTTCTATCAGTACTTTCTGGGATTATCTCTAATAAGCTACTTGTCCTCAAATGTTTTACTCTGGACTGTCTTTGAGGGGAATCCATTTTTAAAAAATAATCATTTATTTAATTTTATTTATCACTATTGCTATTTTTTAGTTTGAGCATGAGCGAAAGAGAGAGAGAGAGAGAGAAAGAAAGTGATAAAGCAAGCCACCAGGTCTGAGACTTGAACCATGGTCAGCCATGTAGGAATCCAGTGCCATAACTACCATGCTACCTGCTGGCCCTGGAGGAAACATACAGGAACATACATCCTATATACAGCTGAGACAGAAATAAAATTTCAACTCTTGCTTACCAGTCTAGAGATTCTTTTGTATTAACTTTAGTCTTTCTGCCTAACAAAATATATTCTGAAAACCAGAGACACTATTGCTTTTTATCAAAATTAGATTTTTTAAAACCAGTAATTAAAACATCAGCAGCTGGATCTTCTGGACATATAGTAATTTAACAATATCCCTAGTTTTTATCTCTCTCAAAGATTTTAAGTCAACATCTTTCTCTCTACCAGTTACTATCATTGACCACTATTGCTAATAAAGCATCTCATTCTTTAAGA